ATTAGAAGTTTGATCAGTCTATAAGGCGGTTGCTTACTTTTGAACCGAATTGTATTTTAATTCCTTTGTACTGTTGGCATGCTTTCATTATTGTCACATCTGAATAAACTGTTACGTAACAGGGCTGTCATTAAAAGGCAGGGGCTGGGGATTTCCCCCAGCTAGCAAGACCGTGGCCCCAGCTACTTTCATAAGAAAATAGAAGAAAAATAGAACCAAAAGAACTCTTGCTGTTTGATTCTCCACCTACTTTTTGTAGTTACCTGGCAACTTGAAATTTTAGTGACAGCCCTGCATAACATATAGCTTAATTTTTTGGCAACTACAACTGGAAAAGATGAAATTTCCTCCTTGGTCTTTGTAACTCATAAATCCTTAGCCGTTTTCAGAGTGGAAGACTAAACATACAGCCTCTCAGAGGTGCTCTCTTGTGTAAGAACATGCAAAACATTCATATTTTGTACTATGGCTACTTGTTATTGTATTGCCTTGTTTTAGTCCCTAAAGATCCATGCATTTTGAAATTGTTGCAAAAATGCAACAGAATAAAGTCCAGTTGAAGGATATTTACAGCGAGCTGCTTTGGTTTGAATGTAGAACTAAGACTAAGAAAACAAAGGAGCAAAATTAATCCCAATTTGCATTAGAATACTGAAAGTGAACTATAATTACGATGGGAATGGGCCCTTTGCAGCTTGTTGTTCACGAGGTACATCACGTCCAAGGTGAAGAGCAAGAGATAAACTGGAACAAGACAAGCAAAGAGCTCACATCATTAAAAATGTAGTTTTCTGTGTTTATTGTCGTCCAGCATGTCCCTTGCTCTCCAGCATGGCGGTTTTGTACCACATGTATGACCTTGCTGGCTGTGGCCTATAATGCATACAAAAGTATACTGTTGTTGCAATTTGGCTGAACTGTGGCTTGTTTTAGTGCTACAATAATTAAAATCATTTGAAAACTATAAAAGCACTATCTAATAACTCAAAATTTGCATTTTAAAATACTTAAACAGCAACAGCCTTATTGCAAGCTTCTTTCTAAACTGAACTGCGGACATGGCACTCTTGAGTGTAAAGATTGGTGACTTACATTTCACCAACTTTTGACCTGCTCCTAACCCTTTCACTCTTAAACCATGCCATGGTGAAATGATTCATCGTTCTAACTTTTGATAGACTGCTGGAAGTCTCTCAAGATTGTTGCACAGGCAAGCAGGTATTTGTCTTGCTTGCTCGCACATGCTTGCACATACATATCATGCTTGCCCTTGCCAAATCCTATGGTTTTACCATTGAAATGAAACCTCTTCAGCAGTAGTATCTATTTATTATGTAGCTTTAATGTTTTAGTCTGTGGACAGAATACTATGATGTTACCGTTCACATGAAACCTCTTCAGTAGTATTTTCACATGATAGTATTCATTGAGTATGTAGTTCTAACTTTTGAGGCTATTAATGCAACCCTATAGTGTTGGCAGAACTTTTGCACACTACTATTTAATTACTTCGAAGTATTTGAGAAAACCTTTGGTGATTAGGAATGAAAGTGTTAAACCTTAGCAAAACGATTTTCCTGGAAGGTGACGTCAACTAGCGTGGATAAATATCTAGTGTTCTGGATTTATAATCGTTATACTCCAGCTTTCCTTATCAATAAAAAAGACTTCCCCCTAATGTGGTGTTTATGTGACAATCATTTCAAGAAAATAGCTTCAAAACACAATTTAAGAAGTCGGCTACATCATTAGTGAAGGAAATTAAAATTGTAAAAGGTACTGTGGCATAGCATATTTAAACACATTTTGAAAAAATCGGCCTTAATATTACCTGTTATTAGAGTGTAGTTTTAAACACTAGTGCTTAAGCTTGTACTGATAAAGACAAACCCATTTTCTTTCATTTTAAATTGTTTATGGTAAAACGACAATAAAAATATTATTTTAAACTTGTTAAGGATGTCCCCAATAACCTGAAATGCTTAATTCCAAAATTAAGTCGATCAAGTTCACCGAGTAATGTGGATTGTCTTGGCTTAAGAAGAGATGATCACTGAAGCGAAATCTGTTTAAGACTCTTGGTGAAGTCCTACCTGTACAATAAACATTAATAAGCATAATACGGACTTGAAATGTAAAGTCCTCTTTTTAATTAAACGGGAATCACATGGAACCCGCGGAAGTTGCTACACCCTTTGGTGTAACGAATATGGATAAAATGACGTCACAAATTTAGGAGCGTATGTGATTCGATATTGATGATAGAAAGTTTCCTTGCAAACTTCTTTTTTAACAAAAAATATAGTGAAGCAATAAATTTGTCAATATATCCTATTATTTAAGCTCTATTTTTAGCTGTCAATTATGTGTTTCATAAGAGATTTGAGCCTGCTTTGGGTCGGCCTTAAGTAACCTGTAACCATGTTAAGAAACAAAAAAGGAATAGTCTATTCGTATACTATGAGCATGATTTTACCGTTCAATTTCATATCTTAGTAAAGCACCCTCGTTTTCCTGCTAAGTTGCGGAAAACCCTAGATATTAAAGACCTGTCCAAGTTTCTAGGCCCGTACGAGTGGGTACCCTCCACCGAAACCATGTATTCACGAAAACCGCATAAAGCACGGTACCTAGTTGTTCAAAAGATAGATAACACTATCCACTGGATAAATCCCCATTCAATGGGGTGCGCAATTGGTTTCCTGTAATACTTATTCACTGGATAGAGATTTATCCGGTGGATAGCGCTATCCAGCTTTTGAACGACTGGGGCAGATTCCTATCTAAGGTTTTCCGATAGACACAGGTCACTTCCCTCGCTCCACCTCATTGGAGAGCCGCAATTGTTGTATGCAACGTTATGCCTAAACGTATTTTTCTAAAGGCGCAAATTCAACAGGCCTCATACCAGGCGCCATACCAGGTCTTCTTCTCTCCTTCTTACAAATGGGGCACTGATTCGGTACTGGAGGCGGAGGGCGCTCCACTGGCGGCTGCCGGTGAAGAGGGCACGTTTCAACCACTGACAAGATAGGACTGCAGTAGGAACTCTTGCACACGCTGCGATCGGTCTCTGAGCTACGACTCGAGTCTGTAGATGGCGGTGAAGGCCCTTTCGAGCTTGGGGCAGCACGTCGTTTCATTTCAGGTGACCCCGGATACCGCTTCACTGCGGGAGAGCTATGGGAGCGCTTTTTGTCTCTTGGGGGAACTCGCTGAAGTTGTCTGCCTCTTCCCTCCCCGTTATAAGGGGGCATTGGAGCTTGCAGCCCTTTAGAAAGCTTTATATCCCCTGGAACTGCATCATGAGATTTGCGACGCTTGTCTGGAGCGCCGTTCACCACACTCGTCCTCTCAGCAGTGACTCTTTCATCTATGGGATCAAATCTCGAAGCAGACAGCTTTTTCAGGGAACCATTGACAGGCCTGCTTGAGACTTCAGACCTCGAAACTTCGGAGACTTCTTTCTCTTCGGAGACCGCCTTTCTGCCACGCAGCTGTTGACAGGCGCGCCTTAGAAGGTCATTCTCCTTTTTCAAACCCACGATCTCTTCCCTTAGTTTCTGAGTAGTTTCTATGAGCTGTAGATTTTCGTCTTCTAATCGCCGGTATTCGATTCCCATTTGCTCCATTTTCCCTGAAGAATTTTTGAGATTTTCCGTTTCCTTTAGCAGTGCATCCAAACGGTCCGAGAGAAGCTTAGTCCTCATTTTCATGGCGTTGTCTTTCTCGATTACTTGCTCAGCCAGTTGCTCTTTAAGGTACGTTTCTCTTTCTTTCTCAGCTTCAAGGTTCTTGACCTTGAAAACAAATAAATAAAAGATAATGATGAAAAAAATAATAATAATAAAAATCAATTCAAAACACTCCCTCCAAAAGAACTTGATGTTTTTCCTCAAATCAACTTGTGGAGCTTTAAGGGGGCTACTGTTTACGTAGGCGGGATTTCCGCCGTTCCCTCGGTCTTCCCAGAGAATTCGTGGTGGTTTATATAAGAAGATGTGGCCATATCAGGGATTGTAATGACGGTATTATAAAATATTTACTATTACATACTTAGAATAGAATGATAACATACAATATTATGTACTTATAAAAGTTAATTATTGTAGCGTACCTTGGAAGCCATGTCTTTTAATTCTTCGACAACTTTGTTAACATCTTCACCTTTGGTCTCCAGTGCCTTGTACAGGTCTCTTACGTCCATCTCCAGCTTCCTGTTCATCTCTTCAAGTTTGTCTTTCTCCGCGAATAGGCTTCTGAGTTTGTCGTTTAGCTCTTTATGATTTCCTTTATCAAGAAGAAGATGTTCGATCTCAGCTCTTTGCTCACGGTTGACTGTTTCTATGCGCTGCTTGTCGTATTCTAGCTGTCGCACTCGAGATAAAGCAGTTTCTTTGTCTTTTTCCAAACCACGACAATCGTTTTCGAGCTTCCTTTGGATTGTGCTCAGTTCCTCCACCCTTGTGTGCAGTAAGATCGCTTCGTGCTCTTTGGAGTGTATCTTGGACAGCAAATCTTGATTCTTGTTTTCCATTGTCACTTTAAATGAGTGTGCGTCCTCGACTAGTTGAGTTCTTTCGTTTTCCAATTCTTTACAGTTTTCGTCCAAATTATTGTTCTCGTTCTGAAGTTCGTACTGTTCCGTTTGTAAGGCTTTCAAACTCTCCTTTGTCGCTTTAAGTTCAGATTCTATCGCCATGTTTTTGTTAATGGCAACTTCTTTGGCGTTGGATAGTTCACTGATTC